ACAGCTTCGTGGACTCGGCGGCGGCGCACATGGGCGCCTTCAAGCTCAACCCCGGGGCCCACGACCTGTCGCCCGGGCAGAGCTCGGCGTTCAGCTCGCAGGCGCCGGTCTACCCGGCCGCCGCGCTGGGGCCGCACGCCGCGCACGTCGGCTCCTACTCCGGGGCGCCCTTCAACTCCACCCGGGACTTCTTGTTTCGCAGCCGGGGCTTCGGGGACTCGGCGCCGGGCGGCGGGCAGCACGGGCTCTTCGGGGCGCCGGCCGGCAGCCTGCACCACCCACACACGGACGCTCAGAGCCACCTACTCTTCCCGGGCATCCACGAGCAGCACGGCCCGCACCCCTCGCAAAACGTGCTGAACGGGCAGATGCGGCTGGGCTTGCCCGGGGAGGTCTTCGCGCGCTCGGACCAGTACCGCCAGGTCTCCAGCCCCAGGACTGACCCCTACTCCGCGGCGCAGCTGCACAACCAGTACGGCTCCATGAACATGAACATGGGCATGAACATGGCAGCGCACCACCACCACCACCACCACCCCGGGGCCTTTTTCCGCTACATGCGGCAGCAGTGCATCAAGCAGGAGCTGATCTGCAAGTGGATCGACCCGGAGCAGCTGAGCAGCCCCAAAAAGAGTTGCAACAAAACTTTCAGCACCATGCACGAGCTGGTCACCCACGTCTCGGTGGAGCACGTCGGCGGGCCCGAGCAGAGCAACCACGTCTGCTACTGGGAGGAGTGCCCCCGCGAGGGCAAGCCCTTCAAGGCCAAGTACAAACTGGTCAACCACATCCGCGTGCACACGGGGGAGAAGCCCTTCCCCTGCCCCTTCCCCGGCTGCGGGAAAGTTTTCGCCAGATCCGAGAACCTAAAAATCCACAAAAGGACGCACACAGGTAATGCCGAGCAGGCGGGCTGCACGGCCGCGGCCGCAGAGCGCGGGGCCAGCTCGCTCGGGCGATGCGGTGCTCTCGGAGGCAGGGGGACAGGCTCTCGTGTGCCCAGGCTGCCACGCCACCCCCGCCACGCTTGGCCTTGGCGGGCTGGGGGGTCGGTATCACCATCCCCATCATCACTACCATCAGCATCGTCAGTTTATTGTGGTTTGCTATTTTTTATCATATATCCACCTCTCTCTCTCTCTCTCTCTCTCTCGATCTATATAGATATTGATCTACACAGATTTATATCTATTTAGATCTATATATGTACATCTCGCCTCTCTCCTCGCAGGGCTGTTTTATGCACCCCTTTAATCGTGCTGATCAGGAGTGTGGAAGTGTGCCGAGGCTCGAGGCACTCTTCCCCTCTCCCTGTGCCAGGCGAGGCCGGCTGCATTCATTCATTCATTCATTCATTCATTCTGCTCAAACGCGAGGGCGCATGGATGGGGCAGGATGCACTCCCTGCCCTGCTGTCATCGCCCGGTTTGGGGGCGTGTGTGCGCGTGGATGTGGGCTTGATATACATCTCGGAGCAAGCGGCCAACGGTCCCTTCCTGGGAAGGCTGCCCATTCAATTTTAAATGGTGGGAGCCAGGGCAATAACATTTCCTCGTTGGGGAAGAAAAAAAAAGTCTCACTTGAGGTGGCTTCGCCACAGTTTATTAAATTATGTACTAGGTGACAGAGGATCTGAGGTTCAGGAACTTGCACACGCACACACACTCGCTCCACTCAGTCGCGCACACACGCAGAAACCAGGTCAGACAGGAGAGAAGGGCAGGACGCGCGTCCTGGTGGCAAATCGCGTGAGCTGAACAGGAACAAAATCAACGCATCCTCCTGCTTCATATATTATTCATTTGCTACTGCTCCCAGCTCGGATGGTGCCAGACTGCTTCATAAAAGGCAGGCAAATATTTTAGCAACTTCCACCCTAAATATTGACTCGGATCCGGGGCACATCTATAGGCCCATTGTTTCCTGAAGTGCGAAGCGGGGATGCGAGGTGCGAGACGAGCTTTAACAAGGTTTAAAATTCAAGGAATGTATTTGCATGAGGTGCCCGCACTCGAGGCATTGTGTCGGAGCGGATGGCCGGCTGGAAGCGAGGATTGAGGTGCTAATGGAGTTGGATGTTCAGCGCTTCCCCTCCGAATGGGGAAGGC